TATTATTGAAGAGGATCATGCAGAACCTTTGCAAGCACGGCTTTTAATGGTAGGTCTATGTTTTTTGTTTGTTGTTGTCTCATACTTTTAGATACGCTGTTATTTGTAAATGCTACTGCTTCTGTTAGCTTTTAATATATGGTTTTAAACTGATTAAAGCTGAAATCTGAAAATAAGTGTATAATTGGAACATTCCAATTTGTTCAATAAGTTCATTATTGGAGCTGAGCTGAATGAGAGAGAGAGAGAGCGTGTGCAGAGAAGGGGACGTGTGGAACAGTATTAAGAACGGCTGCTTTAACATTGATTTTGAAACTTGTGAATCCATTAGAATCGTTAGAAGACAGAATCGCGATTCATATATGAATAGATTTTTATGTGCACCTCTAGTTTTCTCTTCCTCTTCTCTAAAGCAGCGCAGCATGGCCTCGCCCCCTTTGCTGCCTTTTCCCGAGGGCGGGGTTTATCTGGGTTTGTGATGTCACGAACCCGGGAAGTAACTTGTTGTAGTCCCTACCAGCCGTTTTTGTAGGCATTAAACTGACAGAATTTTAAAAGACGATATCTCTGTTTGCATTGAACTTTCAGCTTCGTAACTTTGCAGATATTGTTTATGCTCAAACAGCAACATTACACACTAACGTTAAAAAAGTTAAATCGCAATGAACCACTCCTTTAAAAATCTTTTGTAACATTTAAAATTTATTTTAATGCCTCTTTTAAACAATTTAATGCGTCCTTGCTGAATAAAAGTATTAATTTCTTTCAAAAAAATCTTGCTGATCCCAAACTTTTGGACACGTAGTGTAAGTGTACAATTTACATATGTACACAATTTAGATTTGTCTAAGCAATTGTGGCCTGGTGTTTTTCTGTGCAGTGGGACATATCACTCCAGAGACGAGAGCACAGACAGTGGCCTGAGCATGAGCAGTTACAGCGTCCCCCGCACTCCAGACGACTTCCTCAACAGTGTGGACGAGATGGAGACAGGTACGCCACAACCCAAATACTCAAAATGTAACCACACGCATGATATAACAGCACATTTCAAAACAAACCGTCTCTCTGTCAGGCGATACCCTCGGCCCCAGCTCCATGGCAACACAGCCCAGCCGTTTCCCCGACTACCTAGACGCGATCCCGGGCACAGATGTGGACCTGGGCACCCTGGAGGGGGAGAGCATGGCAGTGGAGGGCGAGGAGCTGATGCCCAGCCTGCAGGAAGCCCTGAGCTCCGACATCCTCAACGACATGGAGTCTGTGCTGGCAGCTACCAAGATCGACAAGGAGAACTTTCTAACCTGGCTATAGAGCACCTGAATCCAGCACTACGCCTTCTCTTCCAACATGCTGAACTGCTGCCTAATCCAATCTGTGAAGGATGTGTAGAGGCTTTGAGTTGAGAAAACAAAAGACATTTCTCCCTACTGGACAGTTGTTGTTTTTTTCTCTTTATTTTCTATTCACTACGTTTGGCCGAATTGGTTTTAAAAGCTGAGGTATTTTAACCTTTGGTCCTTTTGTGCTTCTTTTTGTTTTCCGTATGTCTTTTTCATGTCTGCATCCTCAAGGCTGGCCCATGAACAGACAAGTATTCACAAGTACCCAAATCTCTTTCACGGCTGTACTGGCAGCCCATCAGTGTGCAAGTATGCGAATGTGAAGTTGTGTGCGCGAAGTGTCGTTTCTCCCCTCATGAAAACTCCTCGCTGGGCGAACAGGGCCGAGAGGGCTCAGGTGTTCCCCAAGAGAGAGAAATAAAGACAGACGAACCCCTAAATCAACCTACCGCAACCTCCTGTGACTGCAGATCCCATCTCAGAGCATCCTTGATCTCAGCTCGCCTACAATTGACTATTTTTTCCTCACAGTAATGAGCCTGAGAAACCAAAAAGCGATGAGGAGGTCGTCTGTACGTGTTTTCCGATAGGATTGTGATTGAAAGGTCTAAATCGTAAGGGTTTCAATTGTGTGGCTTTGGTTGAATAAATACTGCTGCTTGGCTGTGCCAGCATATCACACTAGAAACTGTATAATCAAGTGCCTTCAGACAAAAAAATTGAAACATGTTCCTGTCGTTTTTACACTAGAGATCATAGATCAAATTTGACGCTTGCTTTTACTTTCTCGCTTCATTAATCAAAGTATATTTCTTTCAAAGGTTTTATAAAAAATATTATGTTGGGAATTAGGGTTTGATTTTTTTTCTTCTTTTCTCTTTAAAGAACCCTAGTCTCTTTGTGTGTTAGTTTTATTTAAGCCTGATTTTGTTTCTTGAGGGTTATGGCATTCATGTGTGATTCAAAGAACAAATCGGATCTGTTTTTGCTCTCATTTTAACAGATGTGTACAGAACAACTATTCTAAGAGCTGCCTTTACAGTACATGATTACAGTAACTGATTCACAAAGAACACTAACTAGATGGACGCTATCATTTCTGCTGCATCATAATCAATCTGAGGGGGGATCGTTTGGTTTTGTTACCGATATCTATTTTTATCTTACGATTTTAGTATCTCAGTTGATATGTTGTTGCTTACTTGCATATTTTAGTGCAAATCTCTTTGATTTTTTTTTTTTTTTTTCATCCAAAAGCAAGGAACTAGAATATCAGGGGCACTTTGATCAATAGACAGACATCTCTGATATGAGCTCCAGTAGAGTCTGAGCCAGTTATGTTGATGTTTGGTGCCGAGATGGATATCGGGCAGGAAAAGGAAGGTTCTGATACGTTTAGATGGGTAGATGAGCATGTCTTGAGGGTTAGTGCTGTAGATTAGCTTGTTAGCTTGGATTTGAATTTGGTAACTGTGGATATGAATAATAGAGTAGACTTCTATGGAAACAATCAGTTATCGTTTCTGTCAGGATTTCTTTGAGGCTTCCAAAGACTTTTAGTAAGGATTCTTTTAATGGACGACAAAAAATAATTTATCATACTTTTATGTACACGTAAGAAGACATAAGCTAATGAGAAAAGGTCTAATTGATTTGTGAGGAGATCTCTAATGAAGCCAGATTTGACAGGTCCTCTTATGCTGGTTCCTGATGTCAGTACTGAAGACACAGTAGGCAGGTTACCTAGGTTTACATTATTTCACTAGAGTAGAACACTACAGGGACTTGCCCATTACAAATTTGCTGCAGATGCTTTGCATTCAGTAGTAATTCAGTAATATGAATATTACCTCTTGTTTACAATATGGTTACCTTTACACTACATGATTATAGCTCAATAACCGGCCCTTACACTAAATGTGTGTTGTACTGATTTTTTTTTTTTTTTAAAGGTGAAGTTTTATCAGTATAATATTCTGTGGTCTGTTGGGGTGAATATACTGCTAAGATTTATAACTCAGTTGCCTCCGTAAACAAAAATGTTATGGTCAAAAACAGCAAGCTATGCCATTGTAATGAAAGTTAGAGGTTATAGAGAAAATAAAAGTGGTGTGGAAAACAAAAAGACAAGCTAAGAGAAATATCTATTTTTGCAAACATAGTATTGATGGCAGACTCTAGTGGGGTAAAACAGTGTTGGAGAGAGCAGTGCAACAAAATGTTTTATGAATTGTGGGTACAGTGATGGTATTGCACGTTTATAGAACATTGACTAAAATGTGTATGTCACTTAAACATGATTTTATGCTTGCTTGGTGTGCAACTGTTCAGAATATATAGTAACTGTTTACTTTATTATTATTTTTTTTTGTAGTGGTAGTACTAATCACACAAGTTAATGGATTGGTATTTAGATTTCTTTTAAATGCACCCAGAATGAATTTATATCCATTTATTATGATCTCTTTTTTTAAATCAGTGTATGTGCATGTACCTTAGAACCTTAAGTTCTGTTACATTATATCTCTTTACATATTACTTTAAAATTGGCCTGGAATAAAGTATATACTTTGGTAGATGCTGTGTTTAATCCGTTTAATCCAACATTTTATGCGTTATGAGCAGAGTATTATTAGAGATTAATTGTAAATTGTGTCTGAGGAAAATGTTTTGCACTACATTATGCAGTCCACAGACTCCGCACAGGCTAAATCACTTTATTGGATCACTACATGAAACCAATATCAACACTTTTCAAAAAACATATACCATGAACTGGTAACACTTTACAACAAGGTTCATTAGTTAACTACTTTAGTTCAAATGAACGAAGCATGAACAGTACTTTTACAGCATTTATTAATGTTAATGTTAATTTAAACATTTTTTAAATCAAACATTATTAAAATCAAAAGTTGTGCTTGTTAACATTAGTTAACACGCTGTGAATTAACATGAACTAACAATGAACAACTATATTTTCATTCACATTAATAAAGATGAATAAATACTGTAATAAAGGTATTGTTCATGTTAGTTTATACATTAACTAACATTACCTTATGGAACCTTATTGTAAAGTGTTACCCATTAACTTTTATACAAAAATACCATTAACCTCAAAAGAAAAAAAAAGTCCATGAACTGTAACCAATTAATTTGTCTCCGATATGTCTTTAAGAAGACTTTTACAGGTGCATATTTTAAACACAATTGATGTTTAGTCTAGTTTAAGTACAAACTCATTAAAATGTCCTGTAGTACAAATTGGACTACACTGGTGTAGACACAGACACACACACACAAAAAAGAAATTACATTGTTCAAGTATTCACTACTTAAAATGTAAAAACTGTTAGGGAATAAGCTATTTAAGATTACAATATAATATGTATCAAACCAGACCGTCTCATATTCATATTAACCACATTATGATGAAAATGTTCTCTTCAGATTATGACTAGCTTGTGTTTTAGCCTGTATTTCCTCAGCGGCTCCATTTTAAATGATGGCATCATGTTCCTCACTGCAGGACATGAAATAAATATTAGCTGTGTTACATTTACATACGAACATATATAAAACATGGGATAATACATAGAGTGCTACAGTCTGGTTCCGGAAGTAAAAACGCTGATCATTTTCTCCATAGGGAAATTCATTTTTAACAATAACTTATAACAATCACAGCACATTTCGTATTTCAGAAGGCGGGCCTTCATTTGATACAGGAACTATTCGAGCCGTTCATGCCAGACTGGGGAGAGAGGTGCTGTAATAATGTAAAATATGTGAAAAATAATGTGTTTTTCGAACAACCTAGTATGAGAGCCTGTTCTAGTACACCCCCAAAACAAAATCAAGACTTTGTAAAAGAGCACAATAGGACCCCTTTAAATACAGACCTACTGTGAGGTGTAAATATATATTATATGCCAGGACTTTTCTGTACAGCATCATGGGTAGTGTAGTTTTTCACCACAAATTCAGCTGTAAAACACTGAATTTGATGGAGAAATATAACTGATGGAGAAATATAACTATTTTTTTAATCTATTTTCATAGATAAATAGTGTTATATTTCTCCATCATTTTTATTCAATTGTCATTGCTTCATGGAATTGAAGTCTTTCCCTCATTAAAGCCGTTAAGTACACAGTTTTATTTTTACATTAAAATAAAAGTTTTATCATGTTATGATTCACCTTGTAGCTGGTTGGTTTGGTTCATGGCTTATAACTCTTACAACAAAAACATTTTTAAAATCCTTATGGGAAAAATTCATTGAAAAAATACTTCCGGAACAAAGGCTGCTGAAAAAGTGGATGAGAAATAGGTACATGGTTCAAAAACTCATCACATATCTGGATCCACATGCTTTTTTTTGTTTTTTTTTAAATAAGCAATTATTTAAATGTAAAAATACTGCCAAAAAAAATTAAAAAAACAAGCACTCTGATGATACTCACATGACTCTGTAGTGCATATCCCGTTGTGAGCAGGCCAACCTGTAGCCCAAAGTGACGACCAGTATGATAATAATGGCAAGCATCATACCGCCAATGAAACTACCTGCATGGAACCGAGGACCTGCTGTTGGGATACTAGGAGGAACACCTGTTTTATCCATCCAAAGAAAATGGTAGTTTCACATTTTGACTGTAGAAATGCTGATGCTGCTGGTGAAACCAATGTAATCAACTGATCAAAAGTATTGCAACAAATCAGGAAATCATGCTGTACCTGTACATGCAGAAATCAGGTGTTTGCTCTCTGTTGAGATGTGCACAGTGTTCACAGACGGCTCAGTTGGGGGTGATATGTTCAGCTTTGGGCAGTAAAGTTGAGTAGTTGGACATGTTTGATCTAGTCACTGAAGTCTCTCCTTCAGCTGAATGAGCCTGGTCAGCTCTGCTGTCTGCATACGGAAAATCCAGATCAGCAGAAAAGCAGTTTATTTGTTCTTATATTACAGAAATTACAATAAAAGCCACTAGCAGAGTACTTTTATAATGTTGTGTAAGATCCTGCTGCAATAGCATACATCTGGTCCAAAACATTGTGAATGCTGCAATCAGTGTTTTCATGGAAACCTTGAGTATGGTGTGAGTTAAGAGATTCATTTGGCTGCACTACTTGAGAATAACTCGTAAGTTGTTTATGTAGATTGTCTCAAAAACAGTAAGCAGTGAACCATCTACCTAGACTAGTTGCTCTCAACCAGGGCATGGAATAAAGTATATACTTTGGTAGATAATGTCTTTAATCAGATATTCATCATGAGCGAAGAATTACACTTTCAGTGTAATTGTGTCTGAGAAAAAAACACTTTACACAGTAAAACATGCAGGCCACGCCATTAGACTAAATAACTTTATTGGATCATTTTATACACTATAGATGCCACATCAAACTCATCATATCATGTCCTGTAGTACAACTAGACTAGAAACACACACACACACACACACACACACACACACACACTGAAAATACAGTGAGTTCAAGTATGCTCTACTTGAAATGGGGGCCAGGGCCCAACAGAGGGCCTCAGCAAAGTTCCATGACAGCCTCAAGATAACTTGAAAAATATTTAACATAAGAAAAAAACAAGCATTAAAATAAGGCCAAACAACTATAAATCAAGATTTATTTATTCATTTATTTAGAAGAAGAGGAAGAAGAATAAGAACCAGGGTGTCCAAGGTCTTGAAAAATCTGGATATATGAGGGAGCCTAATTTTAAAAGTGTGATTTGTAGACCTTTAGAAAAGTTAATTAATAAGAACTCCATGGCATTTATAAAATAAAATAATTTTTTTTTGCCAAGCTTTAAAATTGACCGTTTTCTCAGACTTGACACTTCCTCACTTATGTCACATGAGGAATGTTATCATGGATTTTGCTACTGGAGCAAATGGGAATACAAAAATTATTTTTGTTGTAGTTTCCCTAATTATGATGACTTGCACTTCTGAGAAAACGTGATCCATGTGGTCCATATTTTATCAGGTAGAGATTGTGTGTAACACGCGATTTGAAGGGGCCCCCCAGAAACCATAGTGGAGCCCTTGATGTTAGGCAACAAAAACGAGGTGCTGAGGTATGACTGGGGCCTGTTGCTATATGGTTGCTAGGGTCCTCTGGCTTGTTTCTAGGGCGTTTCAAGGCAGTAAATAGGCTGTTTCTGAATGGCTGCTTATTAAAGAAACTAACGTACCCATCTCTGACCCTTTTACAGCCGTCCAGCTTCTCCTCACTATCTGTGGGAAGTACCCGAAAGACTAATAAGAATAGTAATGAGCAATAGTGATGTTTTGCTTAGCAGGCACCACTAAAAAACTGACTAATTTGGCATCTTTGCCATAAGCCCTGCTTCATTTCGGAGCCTGCTGTCTAGGTAGGTAGCTTGAGACAGAACCGAAATGTTCCAAACTGTGTACACGTATACACAATGGAAGCTTTCGCAAGTTCCGTTATACAACGCGTTTTCCACAGAGTTCTTATAATATAAACAAACAACTGAGAAACACTTACCCGATAACAAAAGCAGACAGGAATTAATGAAGATGAAACACAAACAGCGGTTCATTTTCTTTTCGAAAAACTAAAGTCCTACTACAGTCCCAAACTTAACGACAGTCATGACGGACGGAAAAAAGCTCAGTGTTGAGTCTGTCCACATTATCGACGACTTAAACCGCTTCAGCTGCCATTCAGAGGAACGCGTTAGAAGTAATTCTTAAATTCAGTTAGACTTTTAATGTCCACTTTTAATAGACACCAGCACAACTGGCTAACATCAACAGCGACTGAAACTCTAGGCGGTCTTTACTAGGGGTTTGGTCTGCACATCTGTCGGTGTGTGTGTGTGTGTTCTAAAGCTGGAGCTGCGCTGCATATCTGATACAACATCATTATCGTGTTGATGCTTTTTCTGGAAGTTCTGGAAGTAATGATGTCCAACCAAGTGATTTGAAACTGTTTTTATTTTTGCAAAGCATCACAGTCTGGAGGGAAATATCGCAATACATTTCCTAAATCCCCTCAGGCACGTTCAGTTGAGCCAGACATCACATGGCCACATGTATTTGATAAATTATAAATTCAATTGTACTTTCTTTGCAAATGGTGACTGAGGCTTTACGTTTTTAAAAGCATCACAAAGTGTCAAAAACAAAAATACATCACTGTCTTTTCAAATTTATGGCCTTTTAATGTAAGCATGGAGTAAAGGGAGAAAGAGATGCATGTCTATCTCCAACATCAGTGTTTGTGCCTGGCCCTAGTCAAGTGTCCAACATTTCTACTTTTACACTGCATTGTTTTGTTAAAGCTACTATAATATAATTATGGCATTCATATGAATCATATCAGTTGCTGTGCACCAAAACCAAATGTTTATTATTACTTGTGAGCGATCAAGGTTTTAGGGCTGTACTAGGCTACATCAGTGTTACAGCCAATTTTCACAAAAAAAGCAAGACTTCTTCACATTTTTGTAATTTACACTGAAAATACAGAACCATGGAAAAACTGAGGCCACGGGATTCTACATTACACGTCTCATCAGTGAGCTAATCGCTAAAGTGCCAAAGGGAATGAGGGACTGAGACCCTAAACACAGTCATATTGATGCACAAGAATGTAATAGGCTGCAGAAAAGGAGGAATTCATTAGTACAAATAATACATTTATACAATACAGTGTGTACAGTATTGCAAAAACGTGAAATACATTTTCTGTTGTGGTTGGTTGGTTTTGTTTAAAGTAAAATTATTCGGTCTGGGCTCAAATTAGCTGCAGAACTTTGGAATTCATTAATGAACAATCAACATGCAAGCGAATGCTTTTCTTTACTCTGACCTCGGCTGGTGTTCTCACATTTACCTTACTAGTTACTTCTAGTCGCCAGGGCACAGATGTTGTTTAAGATCATTCCTTAACTTTGACTGCAATTTTCGCTGATCTCTTCCAGACCAGCATAAAACAAAATGATCTGCACTGACAACAAAAAACCTTCTACCACAGCAATGTCTCACTGCATGGAGCCAAACTTCTGGAAGAAAGAAGATCTTTCTTCTGATGCTTCTGACTGCTCATCAAGTGAGTCTTACATCTCATCCAAACCACAGTCCTCTTCAGGGAAGTCTCCCACAATTACTGAGAGGGGCTTCACGAAGGTGCCATATTTTGGCTCACACTCAAAGTAACGTTTCCCATTCACACTAAATCAAGACAAACATAATGCATCAGTTAGACTTTCTCATAAGGTTCATGGAAGGGTCACATTAGTCATTTTCAGAGACATGCTGGTCTTATTCATAAACATAAATAACTTGTGCGTGCACTGACCTGCCATCATTCTTCCCAAGCGGCTCATCATATTTCACACCAACCCAGTAGCCTGGTTTGAAATCTGCTGTACCTGCAAACAAAGCAAGCATTTAAGCCCCATTCAATATGACTAGACAATAATAGCAATAATTTAAAAAATAATAATAGTTATTATTATTAATATTAATATTATTGTTGTTGTTACTACTTAATACTTCATGTATTATTATTCTATTATTCAAACAAAACAAAAACAAAGTATTTAATAATAATTATAAACATTTGAAAAAATATTAATAAATAATAATGCATTTAAAATGCAGCATTTTTTCTCAGATTTACACAATTCACATGGGTCATATTTCTCAGGTCGGAAAACACAGGAATCTGTATATGCACATCTCTAAAGAAACCAGGGAGCCCCAGGTCAGGATGGCGTTATACAGTTCGTTGAGTTAACTGCCTTTTGAAAAGCATCACTAGTTGCAACTAGTTGAAATTAGATCATATTCATTTCTTGGCTCTATTTTGAGTACATGTAACATTCAATTGGTAAATCAGAGCAGTAGATGCGATTAAACCAGGTCATGCAAACAGCACAAACAAAGCCTTAATCTGAGAGGTGTGATATGAAAATAAGGGTAAGCTTACCCACAAACATAACAGTGCCAATCTTGGTAGGTTGCCCAACAACTTCAACTTTGCAGCGGTTCCCAACAGCAATGGATCCGGCGGCCACCTTCTCTTCCTCTTCTTTCTTAGCAAGAGCCTCTTCTTCCTTGGCCCTGTTTTCCTCATTAAATCGACCTAACTTGAAATTCTTCTTGAAGTTCCGTATCGAATCTGACAAATAAGAAAACTGAGAAGTTAGATATTTGCTTACATTAATTGTAAAAGCACTAATAATATGTGTGATTTAAATTTCTCAACCATTATAGACTACCTAATTTTAGCGTAACACTATTTCATGCATTGAAGCAAAAAATGCAAACGGAAACGTATTGCATAATTCAACCACGTTCACCCATAATTTTTAACAAAATTGGTAAAGTCAGCATGAGACCCTATCTATTTTTTTAAATGCAGGTTATTGAACTTCTTGTGAACAATTTCATGCATATTTACTTGATTTTGTCATTTTTAATCAAAACCCATTTAAACCCTGCACGTTTCTTACAATTGACTGCACAATAGAGCTGCACGATTAATTGTTAAAAGATCGCGATCTCGATTCAGACAACCACACGATCTCATTTCTAAATGACAACGATTCTCCCGTGTCTATTAAACCTTTGACAAAGTCTTACCGGATCATTCAAATCTGCGTTCGCACTGCCGCTGACACACAGAGAGCAGTTACCATGTTTGGTTAAGAAACAGCTTCACAAACAGTCTTTTCAAACTACTACACAGTATTATTTCTGTCGTACAGTCATTCATATTATCACAGAAATACTGGGATGAAAGTTTATAATTCAGATATAAACATTGATGTCTATGGTAGCGTGACCAAAATAGAGCAAATCCGCGTTTGAAAGTAACTGCCACATAACGTTTGTGACTAGGTGGCGAAAAGTGACTTAAAAAAAATGTATAATTGAATGAATCATTTATTCAAGAGAATCGTTCAAAAACGCTGATTCATCCAGTAGGTTTATGAGTGAGTCGTTGAATCATTGATTCAAACAACTTTTTCATAATTTTAATATTAAATTGAAGTATTAAATATATTATATTTTAAATACATAAAAAATATTTCACAGTATTACTGCTTTTGCTGTATTTTGTATCAAATAAATGCAGGCTTGGTGAGCAGAAGAGAATTCTTTAAAAAACATAAAAAATCTTACTGTTCAAAATCTTTTGACTGGTAGTGTATATTAAAAATGGTTAATACTTCATTAAAATTAATTAAACACTTTTAAATAGACTGCAGCATTCATATTTTGCCACACATTATTTTGTTCAGAATCGTGGGAGGAGTCGTGATCTCTATTTGAGACAAAAAAAAAAATCGTGATTCTCAATTTATCCAGAATCGTGCAGCTCTACAAAATAGTACAATAGCTCACATCATACTGTCTGTGTTAGTCTCCCTTAATCATATCAGCCAAAAGCCATGAGATTTATTTCATGAGAACAGCTCTGAAAGCCAACGCTGAGATCTTGAAGGAATGCAGAGTTCAAGCTTCAAAAGCAAGTCTAAACCTAAATCACTCCTAACTGAAAAGAGCTCCATCCAGGGATGGAAAACAAACGGCCTGGATGGGGAAATTAACATCGATCGGAACAGGCTGTGTAATGCAGGTCAGCTATAGCAAAGACACTAACCCGGTAAGCTTGGTTACAGCAGGTCAGGCAATAAAGTACCCTTAACCTCAATCCTCAAGAACCAGGCACATCAATAAGAACCTGGAAAGCTTCTCATTCGTGCTGGAAATATGAGGCATGTAAACACTACTTTAACACAGTAAATAAATGTAAAACTGCTTGCAAGTAAACCTGAATGAAGGAAAATGTCTTAGTTACTGCAGCAAAAACACTTACTATAAACAGATAAAGTGCCAGTTTCCTCTGAACGTTCGATCAGATGCAGTGGAGTTTTAAAATTCGCTACCAGCTACAGAATGACTCAAGCCTTAGTGTGGTTTAAGATTTCAAAAGGCTTTTAGTCTTTGAAGAAAAAAGACAATATATTGACAATTTAAAATGACAAGGACAGGTGATGTTTATTCATTTTAGTCCATTTTACTCTAAAATCATTAACTAAAATGCAACTAATTTGCAAAATGGACTAAAAACTGTCAAGCTGTAACAGAAAACTTTAACAAAATATTCAAACATTTTAGTTGAGTATTAAATTGAATTAAATTGATTGACAATGAATAAAAGAAAGCAATGGCATATAGGGCTGTGCAAAAAATCGTATGCGATTTTCATGCGCATCTCATCAGTAAAGCCGCTCCTGTGATTAGTAGTAAATCTCCAGCACGTGCTTTCAGATGGAGCGGCATTTACTACACAGAGCCGTAGATCACTGACAAGCTACACAAAATCGCGTTCATAATCAGCAATGAATCGCCTGCGATTTTGAACGTGATTTTGCGTAGCTTGTCAGTGATCTACGGCTCTGTGTAGTAAATGCCGCTCCATCTGAAAGCACGTGCTGGAGATTTACTACTAATCAC